AAGGTTTTGTCGGTTGATTCGCTGATAACCAGAACGTAGCTGTTGATGGGGAAATAAACGCGTTTGGCCCTTAAAGTTGTGGTGTTGCCGAAAATTAGCCATGGGAATTTGAAGAGTTTCCTTTGGAGAGCCTGTTGGGGAAAATCTGGTTTTTTAGCGCAACTTTGAGTGAATCCTGGACTTACGTCTTGGATGAGTGCATCGAAAAATCCACAGTCCATATCCACGAGAAACATTCTCTTAAATCTCGAAGATTTCAAGGAAATATCGTTGGTAACTGCGTACATTAAGTTGCTTTTCTTGAGCAGTTTCAGCAAGCGGACATTTTGCTCTAAAAACAGCCTTTATGTCCACAGCTCTAAGCTCAAAGTTCTCTCTCATACCTCGACTCCAACACAGACGCGCCTCCAACATCTTCCCGGGCAATTTCCCCAGAAAATCCTCCAGAAAAAGCAGCTTATCCACAGCATAAGCTAAAGAGAAAGTTAACAAGAAAACCATCCCGAAACGCTTCTGATTCATTTCGTCGTTTGGACTTTATAAATGCAAATTGACTCCCAACACTGAACCAAATTATAGACAGCGCATTTCGGCCTGCTGAGTGGTGGTTAGAAGAAAAATTCGTGAAACACCTAATAAGGTGTGATTATAGTGGAGAAAGCCATCGTTTATTCAACAGCTTGCATTGTCTCATATACAGGGTGTCGCATTGGAAATGGTTAAAAATTGACCGACGGATTTCTGAGAAAATAATACGGTTGCGATTTAATTTCAAAAAGTTATTTTTTTTAACAACTCCTGAATATCTTGGAGTTTTTGACTGAAATTTGGAATCCAGGGGTTTTCGTGGGAGACAAACTTTCAGAGCCAATAATTCGCTTTTAAATCGCTCTAATTTTTTTCTGTGTTTGCTACCGAAGAGCTCATCCCCCCCCCGAATAAATGGATTTCAATATTTTATCCCTAAGATCAAGAGTTTTCGAGATATTTGCAATTAAAGTATTCGGTGCGCTGAATTTATGGAAAAAACCTGCCTATTTATGGATGGAATAGAGGATAATAATAATTTAATAGAAAATACCAAGTTAATAAACACAACAATAAATAAGGTTAGCATCAGGACCAGAAAACTGATGAGCTTTTGACTAAAGTTGTTGAAAATAACGTCCACAACTTCAATAGATTCAATCACACGTTTATTGAACGATCTTCCAATTTAAAAAGTAGATCTTTTTCCCCAAAAATTGCATTAATAGTTTGTGTCCGATATCGTTTCTTCATACACTAAATACTTCAAGGTATCTACAAGCACAAAAATCTAGTCTTGAGGATTGAAATCCGGCCTTCGTGCCGGCCATGGTGCTTGACTTTGTTTGGCAAATTTGTCACCTACGAGTACGAAATTGTACGAAAAAGCTTGTTGTTTGTGAGTTTCTTGAAAAAAACCATTAAAAACAAGTTCCCAAATCCATCGGAAAATATTTTAGGTTTTTCTTTTCAATACTTCCCAATGTTCCTGCTGCAAAACGGCCGACAAATTTGCAGCTCCGAAATACTATTTCCAACGCTCCGACAATGATTGACCAATTTGTTTTTATAACTATGTGATTCCCAAATTGATTTCCCATGTAGAAAATTTTAAGCGTAGAACGAATTTTCAGTTGCAAAATCCATGGGAAATATTTAATTTTCGGTTTTCCCTTTCAATAGTTCCCGATGTTGCTGCTCATTCCAACCAACGTTCCGACAATAATTGACTAATTTGGTTTTATAACTCGTGATTGCAAAATAATTTTCCATGCAGAAAATACAAGTGCTAAGAGTAGGACAAATTTTGAGATCAGAAATCCAAGGAAAATATTTAATTTTCGGTTTTCTCTTTCAAATTTCAAAAGATACGACAATAATTGACTAATTTTTTTTACAACTACGTGATTCCAAAATAATTTTCCATAAATTTCAAACGTTTTGGAAGACTTGAAAAAGTTCTTAGACATCTCTGGCCAGTAGAATGAAGTAGGTACCAACATAACGAGGTTGTAAGCACCTGAGTGAAGAAATAGTTGAAACATACACTAGATGCCGACATTCACTCGGTTTGCGTGATTCGCAAAAGAAAATATTCCGGCCTCAATTTAAAAATGGACGAGAACAAGCCCTGAAAAGTTGTGAAGAGAACGAAATGAATCCAGAGATGGATTCTGAGTGAAGGGTTTTTCCTAATAAAAAAACCTTTTGAAGATTGGAAAGATCCAGATTATCCCTCTTTGGCATTGGAACTTCAGCAATAAACTTTCGATTTTCTGTCGGTGTTTTCACGAAATATCAAAGGAATTTTTAGGTCACCAAAGGTTTAGACGCACCATTACAGTACTCCAACAAAAACCTCTATTCTCAACACCCACTAAAATAATAACCAAACCAGAACTTTGTAACTTAATTTATTTATCCTTAACATGCTTATAATGAATGAAAGAATCGTATCAGTGAATATTGTACTTTGAACCATTGGGAGCGATTTCTGGAGACGACCGAACCCGCACCAAAGTGTGATTGGTCGACGTCTTTGAAGAGCTGCTGGAGATTTGGAACAGTGCCAATCTGGAGTTGGGCTTTTCGGAAGTTTTCCTAAGATCCCTTTGAAGATACCCGGCAACTTTCTGCGGCTGAACGCTTGAAATGTGGGATTTTGAGTCGATAATTTTGATATCTGGAATGCCTGGGAGTTGGTGTCGCTCGAAGATTTTCTGGATTTGTTCATGAGCATGGCTGGTGGATGGAAGGTTGGAAATGTCCCGCTCCAGCTTTTCTGGACGTTCTTCTTTGATGCGCACTTTCTTCTGCTGCTTGCTGGCGCTTTTGCTCCTGGATGTTTCATGCTTGATATACTTCAGTCTGTTGTTGGTTTCGCTTCGCGTTTTGTTCAGCCTGAGCTTTTCGAACTTCAGGTGCAAATTGTCCACTTCCAGTTGGAGGCAGAGGTTCTCATACACCAGGCAACTGTTTTGCTTAACTAGCTGGAAGTGTTTTTTGGATTGATCGAGTTATTTAATTGAAGGTCCAATTACGTGTAGGTATTTTTTGCTGCTGCAGGAAATCGGCGTGGAAAGTCTTTCCTGGATGAGATCGTCCAGTTCTTGGGAAAGGTTGTGGATCTTCGTCTTGTAGTCGTTAAGCAACTGTTGTAGAATCAACAACTTTAGTGCAGCTTCAAAGGAAACAATAGTACCTTTTCGTGCTCCAGTTGCATGGTTTTCAGCTCAGTCTTCAGGCAGGTTTTCGTGTTCTTCATCCTCAAGAACTTGATGCTTAAGTTGTAGTTGGCCTCCAAGGTCTGGTTTAAGGTGTGCTTCACTTTGGCCATCTCCTTCTTGTACTGTTCCACTGATGGCTCGCTTTTGCTCGCCATCGAAGTGCCGCTCAGCGCCTGTTTCAGCTTCTTGAATTGGTTCATTTCCTGGCAATAAGTTTCTTTCTCTTGGTAGTAAAATTTGCGCTCATCTTCCAGCTGCTGGAGCAGGTTCTTGTTGGATCTTTGCTGCTTCAGCAGTTCCATTGTGATTTTTTCTTTCTCTCTGGCGATTTTTGCTATGGCCACCTGTACACATGATCAAAAGGGTACTGGGACATACTTGCGCTCAAAAGACGACAATCTGAACGAACTTTTATTTAGAAACAGTGTTTGGCTCTTCACAGCAAGTTGCACTAAAATCCATCGAATCATTCATTCTACCGATATTTCAATAAAAAGTTAAAATTTCAATTAAGAGCTCAACGGGACACTGTATAATGTTGGGCTGATTTTGAATCTTGATTTCTTCCGATTTCTTTACTCACCTCCTTTTTTTCCGTATCCCCTTGAAGGGCGCTGATTGCCGCCTTGAGGTTCTCAATTTGTTCCTTCAGAGCCTTAATTTCAACAGCTAGTTGTTGTTCTTCAGACATGAAGTTCGACGGTTTCTCTTTCTGATCACCATGCGATCCGTGGGAGCTTCTGGACCAAACGCGCCTAAAACAGGCCACATTTCAAAGTCATTTTCAAAAGTTCCACTCGCTGTTACCTAACTAGATTGTTTGGCGTTTTTAGAATTTTTTTCATTTAAAATCCGGCACTTTCAGGCTCTATTTCCTTGTATTGTTTATCGGCTTTCAGTGTCAATACTTTGAATTTTGACAATTTTTTTTCGCTGATTTTTACGTCGTTAAGGTGAGGTCGTTTACCTGTGCTTATGATAATGGCGGATTACGTAAGAAGAGCGCTTCGTGCACTCGTTCATAAAAAGCTCGATTTGTTTGGGACCAAATAGAGGAAATGGATGTAGGCGACTGTTTGGGTCTCACGATTCTGCTGTTATTGCCGATCTGGAGTTTCACCTATTGGCTGGCGAAAGTTGGTAGGAAGCAATTTGAGGATTCCTACCGAAAAATTCGACTAAAGTTCATTAGAACAGATTACAGTAAATGTTAGGGAGAACGCAATAAGGACAAGATGGGGATATTTTAGTCCGGAAAAGTGATCTATAGCGGATGCTTCCGGACTATAACTTGTCAGCTAATCGGCAATAAAAAATCAATATCAAGCGCTTACAATAAAACGCGGTTCCGCATTCTGCAGACAATGATGTCGATTTCAGGCCGTTGGTGTGAGTAAAAGAGCAACATCTCTGAATGGCAATTCAGGACCGGATTTCGTGAAAACTAGAGAGTTTTCCACTACTTTTTTCAAGTTTTTTTTACAACCTTCTTCAAGTTG